CTAGGAGTGCGGCCACAGGTTACAGCGACGGAAAATATTGTCCACATGTTTGTGACTTAGAGGAATTTTGCCATTTTAGGGGGTCATGGACATTAAGACTTAATCTTCCCGTGTGCCTAGTATATGTAGGTTGGGGTAAGGCTCCACGCCCATGCCTTACATCACACAAGTAGAATGATGTTTACAACAAATACTAGAAAATAACAATCTTGGAACATGTGGACAATTATTGCCAGGCGCAAGCAGCAAGTTACATCAACCCCAAAATAGTACCTAATCCACCACCCTTTCGCCTTAGACACCGCCCTCACCCTCCTGGGCATGCTTTCCACCAGGTGGGTGCACATATCCGCCAGGAGCTTCTCCCATTTCTCCTGCACCCGCTCCCAAAGGTCCAGCATACCAGTGGGAGGCTTATAAGGCTTGGCCAGCTGCCTCTTGAGATGAGCCCATAAATGCTCCATTGGGTTGAGGTCGGGTGAGGAAGACGGCCACTCTAGCACCCCTGAATCTTACTCTCAAAGCCACTCCTGTACGATACGCGACTTGTGCTTCGGGTCGTTGTCGTGCTGGAAGATAGTTTTTTAGGGTGTAAGCTGGTAAAGCTCAATCGTACTGTTGAGATCGTCCTGCAGTATACTCAGCGAGAGCAGTCCGTCCACCCTACCATATGTTTTGCTCATGAAACCCGCTCCCTTTTACGACATGCAGTCGTAAATTATCAAGCAACCGCCCCCGTGTTTGACGGTCTGCTTGATTTGGTGTCTTTGGAGGGCAGTCCCTTCGTGAACGCAGGCGTATGAGAGTCAGTCGGATGCAAGACGACCGATCTTGGTCTCATCCGCACAGATAACTCGCTTCTAGTCGTCAACTGTCCAGTCTGCGTGGGCACGCGCCCATTCCAGCCAATCGCGTATGTTTTTCCGAGAGTGTCGCGGTTTCTTGGGATGCTTGATTGCGACAAGTCGGCTCCCATTCAAAGCGTTACGCAATGTCTTAGGATGCAACGTGATGTCGTGCTGCTTCTCAACGATTTTCGCCACGTGAGCGGAGATTTCTGGCTCCTCGAGGGTACTCGACCGAACTATGCCGCGGCGAACTCTCTCTGTCACTAAGCGAGGGCGACCGGCTGAGGGCATCGTAGGACGCACGTCATCGCGGCTAGACTCTACAATCGCCTTGATGGGCCGAACTCTTCCCTATGGCTAGCTGTTTAGCGATTCAACGATTGCTCTACCCCCTCCGCAACAAGGGAATGATCTATGCGTAGAGCGCCTCATCTAACGGTTTCATGACGGCCTAATCATCGCAGCGGTCCTAGCCTATCTCCTGACTACTCGATAGTCGCGAGGGCAAGTAAGAAGAAATAGCGAGGTTAGGAAATAGATCTACTACGCTGCTTGGCCTAAACTGTTCGGATGCACCCACGCGGACTAAATCTCGTCCTCGGTAAAAAATCGACCCCTATAAAACTGAAACCAGCATCCGTCACATACAGTACAGTACTACTTTACATCCAACCCCAAAATTTGATTTGTAACTAAACAAAGAAGGCACCAAACCAGTACGAGAAATGTTTTAAGGCAATTATCCGGGCAATACTTTCCGTCGCTGTAAACTGGTGAGCGGTGTAGCGAACGTCGAACGACCACAGAAAATGGGGTACACTAGTATGAATCATGGAGGTACTAGACACCTCCATGACCAAACCAATGCGTTGCTCAGTGACCCCATTCTGCTGCAAGGAGTCCGGTAGGGTGTACGACTGGGTGATGCCCTCCGCACGACAGAATTGTCCAAGCCGACCAGAGGCGAACTCGCCGCCACTATCGGATTGGAGACACAGCACAGGGAGACCGCGGTGGAGGCGCGCGGTTATGACCCACGGGATAAGAACGTCAGGCACGTCGGCCTTCCGCTCCAGGGGAAACACCGTTGTGTAGCGTGTGTAGTCGTCAACAAGCACAAGAAAGTAGCGCTCGCGACGCGGCCCAGGGACGGGGGCTGGGCCCCTGACGTCCAGGTGCTGGGTCTGGAGTGGTGCGGTAGCAGGGCGAAGCGAGGAGGAGTGAGGAGCACGGCGCAGCCGGCCCTCGACGCAGGGCATGAACGGTGGCGAACGCGAGGGAGGGAGGGTAGGGAGCGATGCAAGGAGGCCTATGAGGAGACCGTGCTGAGACATGTGACGCAGACGCGGGAGTGCGGGGTGACCTAGGCGGTGGTGCCACAGTAGTGACCGACACGAGCAAGCCGCAGTGACCTGGATAGACGCAAGACCCGGGGAGGACGCGCCCACCAGGGAGGAAGCAGTGTCCAGCGTAAACAGGCGAGACACCGGGTCCCGGGGGACCGTCGCAAGGGACGTAGTGGTGACGCCGAGGTCCTGAAGACAGCCGAGACCAACTAGGTTCCTGGAGAACGAAGGGATGTGCAGGCCTGTAAGAGAACCCAAGGGAACCGTTGGATAAGGAAGGATAGTGTAGCTACGGGCAACGAAAGGACCAGATGAGGTGTCAGCAAGTGCGATGGCGGCAGGCGCGGAAAGCGGCGTGAGTGTGCCGCGGTTGCGGAAGAAGCAGGCAGACGCACCGGAGTCAAGTGTGAGGACAGCGAAGCAGAAGCGGCAGCCGAAGGAGGAGCGAGTGTGGAGCCGAGGCTAGACAAGGCAAACGGTCCTATGCCTGACATAGCAGGGGAGTCTGTACTACACGCAGGTACTATGCCTAAACTAGAGAGCACATGGTAATAGGATCTGGACACAATAGAAGCATCAGTATATAAAGAATGCAAAGCAGAACTAATCTGATCCACGTATAACTCAAAGACAGGCACACCATGGCGCAGCAGACTGGGCCAATCAAGGAGGTCCGGGGCCGGGCCGAAGCGGCGACGAAAGAGGTCGTTGAGGCGGCAAAAGTAGCAGGCGACGGCACACAGTGCCACGGAGGGGGCCGGTCTGGAGCTGGTACTGGCAGCTCACAGCACCGAAGCTCCCGGTAGACGCCGAGCTGCGAGGACCGCCACCGCGGCCACCACCTCCAGAGGCTCCTGGCCACCCCGGCGGGAGGCGAGCCTACGGCTGCTGCTACTTCGGCTGCTACTGCGACGACTGCGACTCCTGCTGCTCGTGGACACCTGCCCCAACCCCCTCGTCAAAACCACTGTCCCCACCACCACCACCACCTGCTCCACCTCCGCACCCTCCCTTGGGGCCACGATGGCCCCGACGCGTTCGCAGCTGCGGGGATGCCGCACCTACGGTCTCAGCGGCAAGGGCAGCTATAGCAACCATGGCTGGAACGTCAGCGTACGTGTACTGGGAGGGAGCACAGCCCAAAAAGATAGGGACTTCCGCAACACTGCTCGATTGAGTGATAGTGCGCTGGCGAGTCTCTATCTCAGATAGGGCGGTGACAAAGGCGGTCAGGGTGAGGTCACTGGGGTGCTGGCTAAGGAAGTGGTCGTGAGTAGTGGCTAAGCGGTCCGGAAGGCACATGGCAATAAGGTACAGGGTTGCACAAAACGGTGGGGGGAAGGCAGTGAGCTGGGCGTCAGTGCTAGCAGCGCGGTAGCTTGTCTCTAGTGCACGAAGGTGAGTGGCTAGATCAGCGACAGTAGGGAAAGCAGTAAGATCTGGGAATAGCATGGGGAGGATCACGCGACCAGCAGAGGCGGAGGCGGGCGTGGAGTAGCGCTCAACTACTGCATCTAGGAAATCCTTGGCATTCACGACAGCAGTGAAGTGCGGACGCTTAGACAGGGGAAGAGCATGACTAATGGCTAGCTGCGCTACGGCATCGCGGGAATCCCAAACAGTGCGAGCAAGCGCAGTAGCAGAAAAGGCCTCACGCTCAGCAGTGGTGGGGTTAGCAGGGAGGGGATCAGGCGCGGGGGGGCGGAGAAACAAACCATCAGCATGCACAGCTAGGGAGTGCCCATCCTAGCGTTGACCTGTCAGGTGACGGCGAAGATCGACAAGCCAGGCGGAGAAGTCGATCGCGTGCCCCTCCGCGTCCAGGCAAAGTACGGTGTCCGCCATCATGCAACCTCAGCGTCACAACTCCACGGCGGCACAGCTCCACGGCGGCACAGCGGCATGGTGGCACAACGGCACAGCGACACAGCGGCACAGCTGCATAGCGGCGTGGTGGCATAACTCTCCGGCGGGAAGACCGAGCGGAAGGCCGAGCGGGGCGCACAGGGCCCGAGACGCGTAGTAGGCCGGCGAGGCGCGATGGGCCGGCGGGGCTCGAAAGGGGCGGCGGGGCGTCAAGGGCTGGCGGAGCGCTAGGGCCACGCGGGGCACTAGGGCCAGCGGGCGCTCGAGGGGCTGGCGGGGTGCGTAGGGCCGGCGGGGCGCTAAGGGCCGACGGGCACGCGAGGGGTCGGCGGGGTACGCGAGGGGCTGGCGGAGCGCTAGGGGCCGGCGGGGCGCTAAGGGCCGGCTCGGCGGGTAGGGGACCAGCGGGCACGAGAGGGGTCGTCAGGGCGCTAAGGGCCGGCGGGGCGCGCTAAGGGGAACGACGGGGCGGTAGACTAGGGCTAGGGCGGAAGCGGGTGGGCGGACCCAACCTACTATGATACCGTGTTAGAATAGCAGAATGACTAGAACAAGTGAGAACAGGGGAGATATAGTGCTCGAGTTGTACCCTCTATAAACATATATATCAGTTGATATCAAATCCTAGTGTACATGCTATCCCAGCGGGGGGATGTGTCATGGTACTGGGATAGCCTTGTCAATCCTCCTCTATCTCTAGGGAGGGTACTAGGGAGGCTTTCCCTGGGGAAGGTAGATATATGGAGCCTAACCCTCCTGAGGACATCCCTTCTTGTCCCAGTGGTTAGGACTGGTGACTTGATGACTGATTCGCGGCGGCAACAATCAGCCTGGCGAAATGTACAGTGCGACCCTCCTGACGCGCTCGCGACTTGAGCGAATCGCATGTGCAATTTTTTCCCCTGAAACCTAGCTCGATTTTAAAGTTGGGACCAGGTTTGCTTCTCGAGTGTCACAGGGGGATCAGAAATCGTGCGACACCTTGCCACCGTACGACAAGCCAGATCATCGCCACGCGAGCAAGTGAACAGTACTTCCACCCCAACTCGATAATTTCAATGCACAACTGCTTCCGAATCTATTTCAAACATAGCCTGCTGCCCCTCCCAAAAAAAACCCAACTCTTGTTCAAACTAAGCCCATTCTCTTGTTCAAGCTGGGCCCAACTTGAAAGGGGTTTGCTATTTTAGTCTTGGGCTTTCAGGCATGCCTCCATTTTTCAACCTACTGGTAAAAACTTTCCCCCCACCCCACCCTACCCCACCCCACCCCCATACCAAAGACTCCCTAAGACCTAGTGCAAGCTTCTGGGCTCCACGCAGGCAGCCACAATAAAGCCTGCTCGGACGGAGCTTGCTGAGCTTGTTTTACTGAAAAATGGTGTCAGAAGGAACACCAAATAGCTGCATGCACTATAATTTTATGACCCTTCTGGGCTGCCACCAGGGACAAGCTGCCGGACAGGAACAGGGGGAGGGGGTTTTGCAAACAGCGAAAAAGAGTGAGGAACACGAGGAAAAATATTACATCTGATTCAATGTTACTGCTGCTGCTGGTGTCGTTTTGGGTGACTTTTCAAGCGGGATAAGGTGTGTAGAGGTGGGTTTGCGGGCTATATGTGTGTGTGGGGACGGTGGTGGAAGTGGAAACGGGGAGGGAAGGAGGGGAGGGGGAAGAGGGGGAAGAGGGGTAAGAGGGGGCGAATGAGAGGTTGAGGGGACCTGTTCTATGTGGGTAGCAATACATTGAGCAGAAGAAGCAGAAGACGAAGTGGGGAATGGACAGCGTCTTACAATAGCGATATTGTTTCCGTTGAGAAGTATTTGATCCAGCTTGGTCACTCTGCTGCCCTCTGCCGTGTACTCACTGCCACGGCGAATGGGGCAGTAACGCATGTGAGGGAGGAGCATTGAGCATGTCAGAGCGGGGAATGAAATGCATACGAGTGCCGTGCCGTGTACCCACTGCCACAGAGAATGGGACAGTAATGCATGTGAGATTGGGCAATCGAGCATGGCTGACGATGGGGCAGTAAAGCGTGTGAGAGTGGGGCGGTATTGCATGGGAGAGTGGCGCATAGAACATGGTAGCATCATGCCAGCACGACAGGGGAATGGAGAAAGGAGGATGTGTGTTTGCTGTAAAGCCACAGAATGTGAGCCGTATTTTGATTCGACTCAAAATACAACTGGACAAGCTGACACACGGTTTATTCTCCGGCCGACGTGAATTAATTGCATGGAAGCTGCCAAAGAAGATCAAGGATTATATAGTCACAGCAAGGACATGCTAGTTTAGTGTTTCAGAACTGTTACACTTATCTAGTTTTTTGCTAGGCTACAATGACCCCTTCTCGGGGATGGTGTGGACCCTCGAGATTTTCTCAGGTCGCACTTTCACTATTTAACAGCTCGAATGCTCCGATGTTCAGCAGATGTTGATGAAGGCTTGTATAAGCCGAAAATAGTTCATCAATGGTCCTCCATAAAAACCTTCCTGAACATCCCTTCAGCTCGAGCTCTCTCAGAACCGCTGCCTCGCAAGGCTTTTTTCACCATGGTTGACAATGGGGCAGTAAAGCGTGTGAGAGTGGGGCAGTATTGCATGGGAGAGTGGCGCATAGAACATGGTAGCATCATGCCAGCACGACAGGGGAATGGAGAAAGGTGGATGTGTGTTCGCTGTAAAGCCACAGAATGTGAGCTCACAACTCGCCGAGCACGATATTGCCTCACCATTCACTTGCGATTTCCACCAGCACCCTGTTGACTGGAAAAGTTGTGGACTGCATTACACGTAGATTTTTCCCATTCAAACACTACTCCCCAACGTCCAACTCACAACCCAACAGCACCCAACTCACTACCCGACAGCACCCAACTCACTACCCGACAGCATCCAACTCACTACCCGGCAGCATCCAACTCACTACCCGACAGCATCCAACTCACTACCCGGCAGCATCCAACTCACTACCCGGCAGCATCCAACTCACTACCCGACAGCATCCAACTCACTACCCGGCAGCACCCAACTCACTACCCGGCAGCATCCAACTCACTACCCGGCAGCACCCAACTCACTACCCGGCAGCAGCACCCAACTCACTACCCGGCAGCATCCAACTCACTACCCGGCAGCATCCAACTCACTACCCGACAGCATCCAACTCACTACCCGGCAGCACCCAACTCACTACCCGGCAGCATCCAACTCACTACCCGGCAGCACCCAACTCACTACCCGGCAGCACCCAACTCACCACCCGGCAGCGCCCAACTCACAACCCGGCAGCGCCCAACTCACTACCCGGCAGCATCCAACTCACTACCCGGCAGCACCTAACTCACTATCCGGCAGCACCTAACTCACTACCCAGCAGCACCCAACTCACTACCCAGCAGCATCCAACTCACCACCCGGCAGCACCAAACTCACTAGCCGGCAGCATCCAACTCACTAGCCGGCAGCACCCAACTCACTACCCGGCAGCGCCCAACTCACTACCCAGCAGCATCCAACTCACTACCCGGCAGCGCCCAACTCACTGGCCGGCAGCACCCAACTCACTACCCGGCAGCACCTAACTCACTATCCGGCAGCACCTAACTCACTACCCAGCAGCACCCAACTCACTACCCAGCAGCATCCAACTCACAACCCGGCAGCGCCCAACTCACTACCCGGCAGCATCCAACTCACTACCCGGCAGCACCTAACTCACTATCCGGCAGCACCTAACTCACTACCCAGCAGCACCCAACTCACTACCCAGCAGCATCCAACTCACCACCCGGCAGCACCAAACTCACTAGCTGGCAGCATCCAACTCACTAGCCGGCAGCACCCAACTCACTACCCGGCAGCGCCCAACTCACTACCCAGCAGCATCCAACTCACTACCCGGCAGCGCCCAACTCACTGGCCGGCAGCACCCAACTCACTACCCGGCAGCACCTAACTCACTACCCAGCAGCACCCAACTCACTACCCAGCAGCATCCAACTCACCACCCGGCAGCACCCAACTCACTACCCGGCAGCATCCAACTCACTACCCGGCAGCACCTAACTCACTATCCGGCAGCACCTAACTCACTACCCAGCAGCACCCAACTCACTACCCAGCAGCATCCAACTCACCACCCGGCAGCACCAAACTCACTAGCCGGCAGCATCCAACTCACTAGCCGGCAGCACCCAACTCACTACCCGGCAGCGCCCAACTCACTACCCAGCAGCACCCAACTCACTACCCGGCAGCACCTAACTCACTATCCGGCAGCACCTAACTCACTACCCAGCAGCATCCAACTCACCACCCGGCAGCACCCAACTCACTACCCGGCAGCATCCAAATCACTATCCGGCAGCATCCAACTCACCACCCGGCAGCATCCAACTCACTATCCGGCAGCATCCAACTCACTACCCGGCAGCACCCAACTCACTACCCAGCAGCATCCAACTCACCACCCGGCAGCACCAAACTCACTAGCTGGCAGCATCCAACTCACTAGCCGGCAGCACCCAACTCACTACCCGGCAGCGCCCAACTCACTACCCAGCAGCATCCAACTCACTACCCGGCAGCGCCCAACTCACTGGCCGGCAGCACCCAACTCACTACCCGGCAGCACCTAACTCACTATCCGGCAGCACCTAACTCACTACCCAGCAGCACCCAACTCACTACCCAGCAGCATCCAACTCACCACCCGGCAGCACCCAACTCACTACCCGGCAGCATCCAACTCACTACCCGGCAGCACCTAACTCACTATCCGGCAGCACCTAACTCACTACCCAGCAGCACCCAACTCACTACCCAGCAGCATCCAACTCACCACCCGGCAGCACCAAACTCACTAGCTGGCAGCATCCAACTCACTAGCCGGCAGCACCCAACTCACTACCCGGCAGCGCCCAACTCACTACCCAGCAGCATCCAACTCACTACCCGGCAGCGCCCAACTCACTGGCCAGCAGCACCCAACTCACTACCCGGCAGCACCTAACTCACTATCCGGCAGCACCTAACTCACTACCCAGCAGCACCCAACTCACTACCCAGCAGCATCCAACTCACCACCCGGCAGCACCCAACTCACTACCCGGCAGCATCCAACTCACTACCCGGCAGCACCTAACTCACTATCCGGCAGCACCTAACTCACTACCCAGCAGCACCCAACTCACTACCCAGCAGCATCCAACTCACCACCCGGCAGCACCAAACTCACTAGCCGGCAGCATCCAACTCACTAGCCGGCAGCACCCAACTCACTACCCGGCAGCGCCCAACTCACTACCCAGCAGCATCCAACTCACTACCCGGCAGCGCCCAACTCACTAGCCGGCAGCACCCAACTCACTACCCGGCAGCACCTAACTCACTATCCGGCAGCACCTAACTCACTACCCAGCAGCATCCAACTCACCACCCGGCAGCACCCAACTCACTACCCGGCAGCATCCAAATCACTATCCGGCAGCATCCAACTCACCACCCGGCAGCATCCAACTCACTATCCGGCAGCATCCAACTCACCACCCGGCAGCGCCCAACTCACTGGCCGGCAGCACCCAACTCACTACCCGGCAGCACCTAACTCACTATCCGGCAGCACCTAACTCACTACCCAGCAGCACCCAGCTCACTACCCAGCAGCATCCAACTCACCACCCGGCAGCACCCAACTCACTACCCGGCAGCATCCAACTCACTACCCGGCAGCACCTAACTCACTATCCGGCAGCACCTAACTCACTACCCAGCAGCACCCAACTCACTACCCAGCAGCATCCAACTCACCACCCGGCAGCACCAAACTCACTAGCCGGCAGCATCCAACTCACTAGCCGGCAGCACCCAACTCACTACCCGGCAGCGCCCAACTCACTACCCAGCAGCATCCAACTCACTACCCGGCAGCGCCCAACTCACTAGCCGGCAGCACCCAACTCACTACCCGGCAGCACCTAACTCACTATCCGGCAGCACCTAACTCACTACCCAGCAGCATCCAACTCACCACCCGGCAGCACCCAACTCACTAGCCGGCAGCATCCAACTCACTACCCGGCAGCACCTAACTCACTATCCGGCAGCACCTAACTCACTACCCAGCAGCACCCAACTCACTACCCAGCAGCATCCAACTCACCACCCGGCAGCACCAAACTCACTAGCCGGCAGCATCCAACTCACTAGCCGGCAGCACCCAACTCACTACCCGGCAGCGCCCAACTCACTACCCAGCAGCATCCAACTCACTACCCGGCAGCGCCCAACTCACTAGCCGGCAGCACCCAACTCACTACCCGGCAGCACCTAACTCACTATCCGGCAGCACCTAACTCACTACCCAGCAGCATCCAACTCACCACCCGGCAGCACCCAACTCACTACCCGGCAGCATCCAAATCACTATCCGGCAGCATCCAACTCACCACCCGGCAGCATCCAACTCACTATCCGGCAGCATCCAACTCACTACCCGGCAGCACCCAACTCACTACTCGCCAGCACCGCGTTGACTGGTGTACTATAGGTATTAAAACATGCACAGTACGCACTTTTGACTCACTGCGCGGTGACATCTTCCAGCACCATTGACGGGTGTAGGCAATAATAATTGTTCAAAAAATTATACTCACAACTCGGTCCCCAATTGCAAATGATACTCACTACTCGGTGACGTCTTCCAGCACCATGTTGACGAAGACGTCGAAGCCCCTCAGCGTTCCAACCAGCTCCTTGTCGCCCTTCATGATCACCCAGATCTTCGACCCTATGCACCGGTCGATCAGCTCTGCATTGCAGAAGAAAAAGAGAAAGTGATGTAAGGCGTATAGAACATCCCACCAGCTCCTTTTCTCCCCCTCATAATGACCTAGACATTCGACCCTGTGCAGCGGTCGACAAGCTCTGCTCAATCGCGCGAATCAGAACCCTTGACAGTAACTGATCACAGTAATTCTTCGCATCAGAACTCGCGACAGGTCGACCGCATCCGAACCGAGACGCACAAATTGATCAGCGGCAGCAAGCGGCGAGATCAATCTTCGAGGAGCGAGAGAAGCGAACGGCAACGCACGAGGAATAACGGCGCGAATAACGGCGGGATAAAACTTCGAGCCTATTGTAAGATGTGACGAACCTGTCGGCATCAAATGGCTCGGGTTGTGCGACATCCTAGTGAAGCAGCTGCTGCAGCAGCAGCAACGGACTGATTGTGCAAAACGCGATGGAGACGAAACTAACGATGCGGTATGGTGGAAGCTGCGCCGCCAGTCGCGCTGAATTAAACTTCACGTGAGCTACACGAAGCGCGTCGGGAGTAAGGCGTGGAGGGACAAGTGAAACTACGATGATGACGCGGGTTAGACGCAACAGACGTTGTGTTGAGAATCAGCTGCTTTGCATGACTAGGCGGTCGTTGTCGTGCAGAAACCCAGGAAAGCTACACATCATATCCAAACATCGCGAACTCTGCTAAGCATCTTTTAGCGCATTAAGCGAATAATTGGCCCGTGGTTTACCCTCGATTCGCGAATACTTGCGCTTATTGTCGCAGCTTTTATAAAAAGCTAGTCTGGTACTTAGAAGAAGCCTTGCGACAGTCGGTGTTTGGGGTCGTAGCTTTTGAAATAAATATAATTGTGTTGCTTAAAGGCCCTCTGAACCGCTTGACCCGACGAAACTAAGTACCAGAGGGAGTCCGATGAAATAGGCACGGGCGTAGTGCCATGGGGCAAGGAGAAATGCGTGGGTCCTGGTGATTACTTAGACCGAGCGCTAAGAGAGCAGGAGATTCCAGCGCAGAAACGTGGATTATTTCGTAGTAAGAAGCCTGAGATAGGTACCCTTTTTACGAGAGCCTTCCAATATTCTTCAAACCTATCCCTCGCTCCATGCACCGATCAAGGACCCCATATTGACAAAAGTCAGAAGCATTGAAACCTTCTGGGTACAGGTCATATGCGAGAGGTGCAACGGCAATAAGCGCAAGTATTCGCGAATCGAGGGTAAACCACGGGAGAATTATTCGCTTTATGCGCTAAAAGATGCTTCGCGGAGTTTGCGACGTTCGAATTTGACTTGTATAGAGTTCCGAAAACAGCCCTAACGAGTTCAGATTTCAAAACCTCTCCCACCCCCCGATTTCATCTCGTTCTCATTTTCAAATTTCGGAGCATCATCTGTGTCCTGGTAATGTCTAGCCACCGCGCCACCGCTGGAGATTCTGACGGAGCCGTTGGCTGTTGCTTTTCCTCACGGGCTAATCGGACTTGAGCTTTCGATTTTCTTTGCGGGTGGGCAAGTGAGATTATGCGATTCTCTGCGCGTGCTCCTCGCCGTAGCTTGTAGCCAGGCAGTGCCTCTTCCCTAGGTTTCGACCCGAAACCACGGTCAGTTTCAGCCCTTAAGATTCAAATCGTAGGGAGAAGCTCCGAAAGCGCGCGGACGATGGCGAAACCACAATTTCTCAGCGGGCAGCGGAAGTCAAAATTCTCTCGCACCGCACCCTTGCCCGAACCCTCCGTCAGATTCGATCAGCCTGCAAAATCGTTTCAAATGCTTGTTCGCTCAAAACTTATTGAGCCGGGCAGCATGCCAGCGCATAGTCAGAAATTCCCGGAGTCTGCGAGTCGGGCAGCAGTTCCCGAAACCTGGTTCCTCCCATTCCGTCCCCCCTGCTGCTCCTTCCCACAACCCACATCCTCTCTCCTCTCCCTCCTGCTTCCTCTGATCGCCTCACCTACAAATCCAGAGTCCCACCCAGACATTCTTAGTGCCCCTTCAGTTTCCAGCAAGCTTGATCGCATTCAGTTCCTTCAGTTCTCAGCAAGCTCCATCATACAAGGCTCATTTCTGCTCGCCGGTTCTTGACTACTGCTGATACTCTTCTCTCAAGGCGTTTAGCTTCTCGGTTACTTCCTAGCTCGAGCTCCACCAGTTTCCAGTTTCCAGGCGTTTCCATGGCTTCTTGTTTTGATGGTGACCGCTACCCGACTTTCGCTGAAGCACTCGCCTTCTGGTTAGCTTTGGTGGCCTCGTCCTCAGCTGTGGCGGACTGCCCGACTTTCGCTGAAGCACGCCGCTTCTGGCAAAATCGGATTGCATGGCTGCAGCGTCGGGCTCTGCTGCAGTCTTTACGACGACCTAGTAAGCTGGCCTCGTCCTCGCCTGTGAGGGACGGCCCGGCTTTCACTGAAGCGTTGGGCTATTGGCGAAGTCGGATTGCATGGCTGCAGTCTGGGTGTCAAGCTCCGCGGCCCACAGCTCCGTGGCTGGCTGCAGAGGAGGAGGAATCGCTGACTGAGGGGGCTGCAGATGCGGAGAGGTCACGGATTGAGGAGGCTGCAGATGCGGAGAGGTCACGGATTGAGGAGGCTGCAGAGGACTTCCCTGAGACGGTTGTGCCGCTTGAATTCGATCAGAGCAGTGAGTGCAGCAGCGACGCCAGCATGACCAGCACGGCTGGCAGCAGCACCTTCCACAGGGACTACAGTGGTGATGACGACAGTGACTGTAGCGGTTCATTGAGTTCGTCCGCTGTGACAGATGCAGCAGGAATTGCTGCTGCGCTTGCTGCTGCTGTTACAGAGGTAGCAGCTGTGAAGGCTACTGCTGGTGCAGAGAAGAAGTCTGATCACAAATCTAATGCTTCTGTGACTTGGAAGGAAGGCACTGTAAGCACGAGGCACCAGGGGAGAGCTGGTGGTGTGGAATGTGGAGCAAGGAAAGGCTCTGCTAGGGTGACAAGGGTAGCAGCAGTGAGGCCTCCACTGAGGCCTTGAAGGCTGCTAGGTGGATATTGGTTAGGTCATTGTAGATGCAATGCTGATGTGGCATTGCCTGGTTGGCCTTGTATATTATTCCTTGTTTAGCTATATTGTGAATTCCTGTATTGGTTGGTAGCCATGTTTTCCTTAGCATATAAGCAAAGCTTATGTTTATGTTTATGCCGCTGAAGCGGTCCATCAGCTTCCAGTCTGGGTGTCCACATCGGGCCCCAGTGCATAAGGAACCTCAACATTTCTTAAATCATGCCCATTGTGTCACAAGACTAGCTCAGCTAGGAAGCCATAAAATGGCATGAGGTTTAGCTAGGAGCTAGGAGGAGCCATGGAAATGGCGAGAGGTTTTAGGTGCTAGGAAGGTTGAGGAGAGAAAAGAGGATCAGAATAGAAGTGAGAGGGATACAAGGAAGGGTGTTGTACCCTCTACAGTAAAGTTCAGTAAGCCTACCAAGCCTACAATTATATACTAACATATATAATTTAACACACCCCCTAGGCTTGGTCGACACAAGCCCACACACACCCACACCCCCTAACCTAGCACCCCCATTCCTGTCAAACATCTGTATTTGTCATGTTTGTATAGACTGTATAGGGTTACCTCTTAGAGGGTACAACACTTAAATATATTTGTGTGTACTCTCACTTTATCATCATTCAATTCCAATTCTGATATGGTATCACGCGTAGGTAGGATCCCCCCCACCTACCGCTTCCGCTCATGCCCCCTAGCGCCCCTCCTGGGCCCCGTCGCGCTCCTCCCAGGCCCCGTAGCGCCCCGTAGCGCCCCTCCTGGGCCCCGTAGCGCCCCTCCTGGGTCTCGTCGCGCCCCTCCTGGGCTTCGTAGCGCCCCTCCTGGGCCCTGTAACGCCCCTCCCAGGCCCCGTCGCGCCCCTCCCAGGCCCCGTCGCGCTCCTCCCAGGCCCCGTAGCGCCCCGTCGCGCCCCTCCTGGGCCCCGTAGCGCCCCTCCTGGGCCTCGTCGCGCCCCTCCTGGGCTTCGTAGCGCTCCTCCTGGGCCCTGTAACGCCCCTCCCAGGCCCCGTCGCGCCCCTCCCAGGCCCCGTCGCGCCCCTCCCAGGCCCCCTAGCGCCCCTCCTGGGCCCCGTCGCGCTCCTCCCAGGCCCCGTAGCGCCCCGTCGCGCCCCTCCTGGGCCCCGTAGCGCCCCTCCTGGGCCTCGTCGCGCCCCTCCTGGGATTCGTAGCGCCCCTCCTGGGCCCTGTAACGCCCCTCCCAGGCCCCGTCGCGCCCCTCCCAGGCCCCGTCGTGCTCCTCCCCGGCCCCCTAACGCCCCTCCTGGGCCCCGTCGCGCTCCTCCCAGGCCCCGTAGCGCCCCTCCTGGGCTCTGTCGCGCCCCTCCTGGGCCCCGTCGCGCCCTCCCTGGGCCCTGCAGCGCCCCTCCTGGGCCCCGTCGCACCCTGCCCGACCCCGTCGCAGCCGCCCGGCCCCGTCACGCCCGCCCGGCGCCGTCGCAGCCGCCCGGCCCCGTCGCGCCCGCCCGGCGCCGTTGCACCCGCCCGGCGCCGTTGCACCCGCCCGGCCCCGTCGCGCCCGCCCGGCCCCGTCGCAGCCGCCTGGCCCCGTCGCGCCCGCCCGGCCCCGTCGCAGCCGCCTGGCCCCGTCGCCCCTGCCTGGCCCCGTCGCAGCCGTCCGGCCCCGTCGCACCCTGCCCGGCCCCGTCGCAGCCGCCCGGCCCCGTCGCACCCGCCCGGCCGCCGTCCCGCTCGCCCGGCCCCGTCGCACCGGCCCGGCCCTGCCGCACTCGCCCGGCCCCGTCGCCCCAGCCCGGCCCCGTCGCACCCGCTCGGCCCCGTCGCCCCGTCCCGGCCCTGTCGCACCAGCCCGGCCCCGTCGGGCCAGCCCCGGCCCCGTCCTCCTCACTGGTACGGTTCCCCCCCACCCCGCCCTGCTCCGTGCCGCCCCGCACCACACTGTACTGCCTGGCACCGCACTACGCCGCACTACACCGCACTGTACCGCACTGCACCGCACTGCACCGCACTGTACCGCACTGTACCGCACTGCACCGCACCCCACCTAGCTGCACTGCCCTGCACCGCACTGGACTGTTCCTGATGGCGGCGGAGCTTCGCTTCGACGCTGAAGGTCAGCCCCTAGAGTTCGAGGCGTGGCTTGCCGACCTCCGCCGCCAACTCACTGGCCAGCGGCAGGATGGTGAACCGCTTTCCGCACACCTTGACGGTACGCTCCCCTGCCCAAACCCCCCTGCTATTCTGCCCGCTGACCCCACACCCACTGAGCGTGAGTCTACTGCTGCCACTGCCCGTGCGCGCTCTGTCTGGCTTTCTCGCGATGCTGTCGCCCAGCTTGCCATTAGCAACGCCCTTCCCCCGTCCGAGCGCCCTCGCTTTAGGTCTCTCACTACTGCTCAGGCATACTTAGATGCTGTGATCAAGCGCTATTCCACCCCTCCGGCTGCCTCGGTGGGTCGCCTGATCCTCCCGATGCTCTTTCCTGACCTTGCATCTTTCCCCACTGTCTCTGACCTCGCTGCCCACCTGCGCTCGATAGATGAGACCTGGCGCGCTGCCTGCACTGACGCACAGCTTAGAGCCCACCAGCCGCCCATTACCTCTACCCTCTACCTGCTTGCCACCCGCCTCCCTGACCGCCTTGCTGTCGCCCGCGACCGCTTCCTTAGCATTCACCCCGCAGACCTCACCCTCACTGACTTTGTAGACACCCTGACTGTGATAGAGACCCGTCACCGCTCCATCGCCCAGGCGAGCGGTGTCGTGCCGGTCCCTATCTTTCAGGGTTGTGCCCCCGCTCAGGGCACCTTCTCCGACGGCTCTGCCGCAGTGGCTGAGACTGCTGCTGCAGCGCAGGTCCGTTCGGGGAAGGGCCGCCGCCCCAAGGCTGGGCGCGGCGGAGGAGGCGGCGGGGGTGCGGGCGGGGGTAGTGGTGGGGTCGGGTCGCCTGGTGCTGGAGTGGACGAGGGGACTCTGCCCAGTTCAGCTGAGTCGCCGCCCCTGCAGGTGCAGCAGCCGCAGCAGCCGCCGCAGTCGCAGCCTTCGCAGCAGCCGCAGCAGCCGTCGCAGACGCGGCAGACGAGTGTCCTCCCGCCAGGGTGGCCCGGCGCTGGCGGTGGCCGGGCGCGTGGTGGTGTGCCGCGTGGTGGCTTTGGCGGCGGGCGTTGTCAGTACCAGATCCAGACCGGTCCTCGCCGCGGCTTCGTTTGCGGTAAGATCGGTCACTCCACTCCTCGCTGTTTTCGTCGCCTGGACGACCTCTTTCGTCAGCGCTGATGCGGAAGCCTGTAAGGTCGCCAGCAAGAAGGGTACTGGCGGCGTGAATAGGCGATGCACACGCGGGCGGAACGCATACGGGGGAAGCACAGGCGGGGGAAGGACAGGCGGGTGAAGCATAGGGGGGTGAAGCATAGGGAGGTGAAGCATAGGGTATGTGCAAAAAGCAGAAGGAAATGTTGGCGGAAAAAAACTGTACTGGAGGCATGTGATAACCTTGTTCATCTACTACCTCCGAGACAGCTGCCGCAACCTCATTGGTGGGTGCTTTCGCAGCCTTGGCTGCCGCAACAGCCACTGCTACAGCCTGAGGTGACGCCCCTGCTGCTCCTCTGCTGCCAGCTGCAGCTGCTGGCACAAAAAGGGGAGGCACGAGGCATCCGATCATGTGTAGAGACGTGCAAAAGGTGCGCTGGAGGCGTGAATAAGTGATGCACACGTGGGCAAATCGCAGGCAGGTGACGCACAGGCGGGTGAAGGACAGGGTATGTGCTACAACAAGTGTCCAGGCATGCAATAACCTTGTTCATCTGGTGAAGAAGAGCAGGCGGCAGGGAGCGAATGGGGCGTTTTTTAACAGTGGCGCCCCTAACGCCCACTGCTGCTCCTCTGCTGCTAGCTTCAGCCGCTGGCACAAGAAGGGTACGCTGGGAAGAGGGTGGGACTGGATTCACGTGAAAGGGGATTCGATTGGGTACAGGGGATGCAGGCGGCCTAAGGAATCGTCCCTGCCGGCGCCGCTCTCCGCTGCTCCTCTGCTGCTACCTGGAGCTTCTGGCACAAGAAGGGTAGGCTGGTAAGGGAGAAGCAGAGAAGAACGGGGGGAGGAAACGGAGTTGGGTGGAGGGGAATCCGCAGCGATTCTGATAGTGGCCCCTGCCGCCCTCTGGTGCTCCTCTGATGGCCGCTGGTACAGAACGAGCAGACTGGGAAGTGGGATTTGGGGGGGATAGGGCGGAAGCGGGACGAGCGGAGAATAAAGCTAGTAGGACCGGATTGTAGTCGCCTCAGTAGCACTACTGCACTCCTGCTCGGCCTCCCAAGTACAGCTGTGCCTCCTACTGTTCATAATGTTGTTCTTGCTGCTGCTGCTGCTGCTGCTGCTACTGCTACAGCAGTACCTGCTGCTACTGCTACAGCAGTACCTGCTGCTGCCACCTTCCCACGCTCAAGTCTGCTCACCTGCACAAATGGCGCTTGGTGAATATATTTCTCAGAGCTCCAGGCAGGGCCTTCCGTATCTCCGCACCCAGGCTCTGCCCCACGGACACCACAGGCTCGACCTCCTGCGGCTGAGGGTACCAGGGTTACACATACCAGCACACGTGGTGTCAGTCAAATATCTTCTTCAGAGCACCAGAGAGCCTTTCGTGTCTCTGCACCCAGGCTCTGCCCCACAGACACCACTGCTCCTGCTGCTGCAGCTGCTGCTGTTGCTGCCGCTCCTGCAGCTGCTGCTGATCCTCCCACAGCACCAGCCTGAGATTGGGCAATCAAACATGTGTAAGGGTGGGGCAGTAAAGCATGTGAGGGTGGGGCAGTAAAGCATGTGAGGGTGGGGCAGTAAAGCATGTGAGAGTGGGGCAGTAAAGGATGTGAGAGAGGGGCGAGCGTGTGAGAGTGGGGCAGTGATGCATGGGAGAGTGGGGCATGTGAAGCATGGCAGCATGACAGGGGAATGGAGAAATGTGGATGTATGTTCGCGGTAAAGCCACGAATGTGAGCTCACAACTCTCCCTGCACCACATTGTCTCACTATTCTCCCACTATTGTCTTTCAACACCATATCATGTGGACTGCAATGCATGTAGATTTTCAACCACTCAAACACCTTACTCCCCCAGCACCCAACTCACT